AGTGTAAAGAGGTTTTCTAAACATTTTTATGGGTATCAGGGACACTGATAGGCAGAGTCATTCTCTTGGACAAGAACCACAGACGTCTGATTGAAAATTGGAATGGTGTAAATTGATGCTATCAGTGTCCCTGATACACATAAAAAATTTAGAAAACCTCTTTACAATCTCTTTAACAAGAACCACAGACATCTGATTGAAAATTAGAATGGTGTAAATTGATGCTATCAGTGTCTCTGATACACATAAAAAATTTAGAAAACCTCTTTACAATCTCTTTAACAAGAACCACAGACATCTGACTGAAAATTAGAATGGTGTAAATTGATGCTATCAGTGTCTCTGATACACATAACAAATTTAGAAAACCTCTTTACAATCTCTTTAACAAGAACCACAGACATCTGATTGAAAATTAGAATGATGTAAATTGATGCTATCAGTGTCCCTCATATACATACAAAATTTAGAAAACCTCTTTACAATCTCTTTATGAATTTGTCAAACTGTGAGGTTATATATAACTACAGAATGAAATAACGAAGTTGGTGATAGCAAGTTTAACATAGTTATCTCCCTTGAGTAAATGTTAGAATTATGTTCACTGTACATTTTACAACCACATGATTTACTTGGTATTGATTTTACAAGGATAACAACTTAGGTTCACAAGGATCCTTTCCACCAGCTGATCCTTGGTCAAACCTCTTGGCATTGATTTTACAAGGATAATAACTTAGGTTCACAAGGATCCTTTCTACCAGCTGATCCTTGGTCAAACCTCTTGATAATGATTTTACAAGGATAATAACTTAGGTTCACAGGATCCTTTCTACCAGCTGGTCCTTGGTCAAACCTCTTGGTAATGATTTTACAAGGATAATAACTTAGGTTCACAGGATCCTTTCTACCAGCTGATCCTTGACCAAACCCCTTGGTATTGATATTACAAGGATAACAACTTAGGTTCATGAGGATCCTTTCTACCAGCTGGTCCTTGGTCAAACCTCTTGGTATTAATTTTACAAGGATAATAACTTAGGTTCACAGGATCCTTTCTACCAGCTGGTCCTTGGTCAAACCTCTTGGTAATGATTTTACAAGGATAACAACTTAGGATCACGAGGATCCTTTCTAACAGCTGATCCTTGGTCGAACCTCTTGGTATTGATTTTACAAGGATAACAACTTAGGTTCACAGGATCCTTTCTACCAGCTGGTCCTTGGTCAAACCTCTTGGTAATGATTTTACAAGGATAACAACTTAGGATCACAAGGATCCTTTCTACCAGCTGATCCTTGGTCAATCCAAAAATGAGTTTCTTGTTTTACAAACTGCAAGCTGAAATGTGTATATTTTGGAAGTGATCCTGGTAGTAAACTGACTTAACCCTTTGAACCCCGAGTGTAAATAAACGTCATATACCCTGAACTCCAAGTAGAGGCAAGATTATTTATGTACAGAATTTGAAACGGAGATGCCCCTTTGTTTATTTTTATTCAAAACTTTCCCCTTGTTTCACCTCTCGGAACTACGCCACTGAAAACAAGTGGTTGTCTAGCAAGATACGCCCACTTTCCTGATACATTTTCAGTATATCAAGGGAGGTCACCTATCTGTGTCAAATCATAACAAAAATCTAATTTGTACAAGATATTGTTGATTTAAACAAACACATATTCTGACATAAACTGTCACCTCTATCACCAACAAATTTTGATGAGTTTTTACTAAGTCAAGGGCAATAACTCAAATTCTGTTCATCTTCGAACTTGACCAGGATCTCATCAATATAAATGATCACACCAAATTTCATTAAAATCGGATAAAAACTGTAGTCTCTATTGTGTTCACAAGCCAATTGTGGACAGAAGGATGGACAGACAGGGGCGACGACAATATACGACCACATTATAACGTTGGCGTATAAAAAGAATCAAAAATAAAAATGATCTTACCGTGAACAATGACGCCCTCTTCTAGTAAAGCCTGCCACATTCCAACAGCCTGGTTTCTCTGGTGAACTAATGTACTCTGTTGCATCAACCAATCAACCATCTCCGAGCCCACAAGACATCTTCTGTAGGTACGTAGATGTAGTTTTCTATCTCGTATCATGTGAGGAGCTCGGCATAATAACATGGTACGTAAAATTCTTCCTGCTCTAGCTAATCTCTGGGATGGCGCCTGGAATGAATGGATGAATGAATGAATGAATGAATGAATGAATATTTTTGTAGGTCTCTTCACCATTGCAATGAATGAGTGAATGAATGAATGAATGAAAGAATGAATGGATAGATGGATGAATGAATTAGTTTTAAATCCTAATTGGGCTAATGAAGACGGGACATGCCGTGCAGTGTGCAATGAGGCAAAATTTACCAGGACAGCAACATTAGTCTGTTTTTTTTTATCAATTTCCAACTGTCAAGGGAGCACAGCCTTAAGCACACAGGGCCTCGATTTTTTGTCCCATCTGAACGACTAGTCTGTTTTCCAAATCAGTCCCTCTGACCTATACACTGACAGGGGGAAACCTTCAGATTAGCGAGCAAGTATCTACCTCACTGACAGGGGGAAACTGGGTTGAAAAATCTGAAGGTACTATCTTGACCTATGCTGAGATTGAACCCTGGACCTTCAGGTTAGCGAGCAAGCATCTAACATCACTGAGCCACCGTGGCTCCTAATCTTCTAAAACCAAGTATACTTACACTAGTAATAGGGGCAGCTGGGTTCATACCATCATCATCACAGCTCATACTTAATGATTTACCCATCGATCTTCCACCAACAGATTTCCCACTGACACAACTAATACTTCTCTCTTTCAACTTCTTATTCTCTACAATATAAATACCATAAACCCTTTACATTACATTGATCTGGAGAGAGGCATGACTGCGATTAAATCACAAAATTTCTGAAAACAGTTTCATAATAGTAGTGTTTATATTAGAACGCCAAGAAGAGTTGGTTCTTGGTCTAGACCTGGACGCAATAAAAAATTACCAAATTTTCAACACAGCCATATATGCCCACCACGGCATGCGGATAGTAAATATTCAAGATTTTGGGGCAAGGGCAATAACTCTGCTTCTAACAGTTGAAAATAGCTCAAATTAGAACTTGATCTTTGTTTTATGAATATGTATACACATACCCAATTTCATTTGATTCCATCAAAAAATGTTTAGAGCGCTTACAAGCAAATGTTGACAGACGGACGGACGGACGGACGTGCCGACAGTATACGTCCACATAGAGAGAAGTGGGCGTATAAGAACTGAACCTACCTAGTTTTTGCAAGGCACTTAATGGAGTTAATACCCGTTCCATTAACTGTTTGTTTCTCTGAAAAAAAAAATACACAGAATGAACAAGTTGTTATATCATTCAAATACTATTATCCAATCAGATTACTGTATTTCATAACTTAAGTGTTAGTGTTCCAGTCATCTGATTGGTCAATCACTAAAATTGATTTTAAATTTAGTTTTATTATCCAACCAGATTACAGTATTTCTTAACTTATGATGATTTTAGTGTTCAGTCATCTGATTGGTCAATCACTTTAAATTCAATTTCATTATCCAATCAGATTACTGTATTTCTTAAAATCTAGATTTCATTTAAGTTAATTTTCTCGTGAATAAGGCTCCAGTTCGTAGGTGTGAAAAAAACCTACCTCCCATAGAATTTTGAAATCTTTCTGTTCAACACGTATTAATTCTGTATAATCTCTCGTAACGACTGTAGCATGACGAGGTTTATTGGTTAATATAGATTCACCAAACGATGTCCCAGGTCCCAATATACATAACGTAACAGCATCCTGTAAAAAATCAAATGATTGGAGTTTTACATCCTACTTTTCTGTATCTGTTTGGGCTAATGAAGACAGGCAACACCATGCAGTGTGCAATGAGGGAAATTTTGCCAAGATAGCAGCATTAGCCTACTTCTGTTTGCCAATGGTGTTTTTACGTCCTACTGATTGGGCTAATGATGACAGGCAATGCCATGCAGTGTGCAATGAGGGAAATTTTGCTAAGACAGTGGCCTTCACCTACTCCTGCCTGCTTGAGTTTTACATCCTACTTTTCTACACCATATGATGTAATGAAGAATGGCAACACCATGCAGTGTACAATGAGGGAAATTTTGTCAGGACATTAACATGAGCCTACTCTTTTTCAATTTCCAACTGTCGAGGGATCTTTAACGTGTACAGCCTGTAGCACACAGGGCCTCGGATCACTTTCCTATCCGACCGACTAGACGAAAAACTACAAATGGAAAACGTAGTGACAATTTGGAATTTTCTTATTATAAACAAATCATATGTACCAGCTGCCATTTTGAAAAAGTCAAAGGTTTATCTAAGCCTCGGGCAATTTCTACCCTTTCTCAAAAAAACTGTCTGTCAATTTCGTTACAAGTTTGGTTTTCTCGCGACTTAAAAGAATTGTAAACATTTTTGAGGAATTAGTACCAGGAACCAATAGCAGAAGAGACTGACCTGTTTTTTGCCAGTCTCAGACACTGTCACTTCCAGAGATCCTGATAACACTGTATACCAATTGGTGCCAATGTCACCTTGACGAAACACTGAAAAAAATAAATATTTTATTGGTGAAATTAAAGATAATCTTGGGGATTCTTAAGTTAAACCATGCCGAAAAGTGTTCGAAAATAAAAATAACATTCCACAAAATTACATCGTCATAAATTTACAAATCCTGAAATTTTGGTACCAAAAAATATTCCTTCAGAAGGGAATCCATGCCAATAAATGATTTTTCAGTACTAAAAAATCCACGCCTAACTCAGAAATAAACAATATCAAATATGATAATGATTAAAATATTTGCGAATACTAGTGAGATAGTTTACGAATATTTATGAAAACGTGTGAATAATTAATGAGATGATATCTCACGTTAATTAGCATGCTAGAATAAATAAAACATAGAAAAATACTTAAATATTATGTTTACTGATTTGACCGTGTGTAAAATACTTTACATTTAGTAAAAATACTTAAATATTATGTTTACTGATTTGACCGTGTGTAAAATACTTTACATTTAGTAAAAATACTTAAATATTATGTTTACTGATTTGACCGTGTGTAAAATACTTTACATTTAGTAAAGATACTTAAATATTATGTTTACTGATTTGACCGTGTGTAAAATACTTTACATTTAGTAAAGATACTTAAATATTATGTTTACTGATTTGACCGTGTGTAAAATACTTTACATTTAGTAAAAATACTTAAATATTATGTTTACTGATTTGACCGTGTGTAAAATACTTTACATTTAGTAAAAATACTTAAATATTATGTTTACTGATTTGACCGTGTGTAAAATACTTTACATTTAGTAAAGATACTTAAATATTATGTTTACTGATTTGACCGTGTGTAAAATACTTTACATTTAGTAAAGATACTTAAATATTATGTTTACTGATTTGACCGTGTGTAAAATACTTTACATTTAGTAAAGATACTTAAATATTATGTTTACTGATTTGACCGTGTGTAAAATACTTTACATTTAGTAAAAATACTTAAATATTATGTTTACTGATTTGACCGTGTGTAAAATACTTTACATTTAGTAAAAATACTTAAATATTATGTTTACTGATTTGACCGTGTGTAAAACACTTTACATTTAGTAAAAATACTTAAATATTATGTTTACTGATTTGACCGTGTGTAAAATACTTTACATTTAGTAAAGATACTTAAATATTATGTTTACTGATTTGACCGCGTGTAAAATACTTTACATTTAGTAAAAATACTTAAATATTATGTTTACTGATTTGACCGCGTGTAAAATACTTTACATTTAGTAAAGATACTGCTAGATATTAAAGAGATTGTAAACAGTTTTTCTAACGTCATCAAACACTTAGTTTTATTGGAATTACAGGAACCACAGACGTCTGATTGAAAATTAGAATGATGTAAATTGATGTTATCAGTGTCCCTGATACACATAAAAAAATTTAGAAAACCTCTTTACAATCTCTTTAACAAGAACCACAGACATCTAATTGAAAATTAGAATGGTGTAAATTGATGTTATCAGTGTCCCTGATACACATAAAAAAGCTAGAAAACCTCTTTACAATCTCTTTAACAAGAACCACAGACGTCTAATTGAAAATTAGAATGTTGTAAATTGATGCTATCAGTGTCTCTGATACACATAAAAAATATAGAAAACCTCTTTACAATCTCTTTAAAGAACCACAGACGTCTGATTGAAAATTAGAATGATGTAAATTGATGCTATCAGTGTCCCTGATACACATAACAAATTTAGAAAACCTCTTTATAATCTCTTTAACAAGAACCACAGACGTCTGATTGAAAATTAGAATGGTGTAAATTGATACTATCAGTGTCTCTGATACACATAAAAAAGCTAGAAAACCTCTTTACAATCTCTTTAACAAGAACCACAGACGTCTGATTGAAAATTAGAATGATGTAAATTGATACTATCAGTGTCTCTGATACACATAAAAAAGCTAGAAAACCTCTTTACAATACCTTTAACTTGGTATTTCAATTAATTAAACTTATTCAAAACTTACATGTAACGCCTTTTTCCAGATCTTCATAGTAACCATAGTAACAGATCTGTTGAAGCAGAAGCGGGTGGAATTTTTCCAGGGCTTTGATATCTTTTAATCTTGAATAGATTATATCTAAATCTGATCCACTTCTATCTGCTGGCCTGCAATAGAAAAACAAGGAATTTTACACCCTACTTAACTGCATCTGTTTAATGCAGTGTACAAAAGGGCAAATTTTGCTGCTTGACGTAACTTGACCAATGAAGACATTAACACCATGCAGTGTGCAATGAGGGAAATTTTGCCAGGACAGCTGCATTAGCTAAATTTTTTTTCAATTTCCTCATTCGCCTCATCAATAATGGGGACAGGCTGTAGTAAAGTTGGTTAGAGTGTAGGAATCTTTACATGACATCATGTCAAACAATAGTTATTGTGGGTTCTAATATCAGTCGGCTTGTGAAAGTCTGGTAATCTTGAATAATCAAGAGTTAAACCTTTTGAGGAAGGGCTGTTTCAGAGTCGGTTAAAGCTTTGTATGTCAAGCAAATGGTGGCTGTGGGTTCTAATCTCGGTTTCTGGAAGCCTTGAGACCTTGAATAAGTCATCTTTCCTCATTATTTCAGTCAACCCAGATGTAAATGGGTACAGATAATCCGGGAAAGATCAATACCAAGAGGTTTGACCAAGGACCAACTGGTAGAAAGGATCCTTGTGAACCTAAGTTGTTATTCTTGTAAAATCATTACCAAGAGGTTTGACCAAGGATCAGCTGGTAGAAAGAATCCTTGTGAACCTAAGTTATTATCCTTGTAAAATCATTACCAAGAGGTTTGGTCGATCACCAGCTGGTAGAAAGGATCCTCGTGAACCTAAGTTGTTATTCTTGTAAAATCAATACCAAGAGGTTTGGCCAAGGATCAGCTGGTAGAAAGGATCCTTGTGAACCTAAGTTGA